TTTTACTTATCTATTTTTTGTTTTATGCATCGGTTGATCGGGCATTACCGCTGATTACATCCATAAAATAGTTCAGGTAAGTGCTATGAAATAAATAACGCTATGTCAAATAGCCAACAAGTGAACAAAATGTCTTATCAGACAAAGTAAAACGGATCTTGTAGGTGACTTTCAGAAGGTTCCGTAGCTGGTGTGGCACTTTCTCCGAGGTCTTGAAAGGGATGTCAATTGATATAAACTGATCATCGCACAAAATTTATCCCAAAATTGCACTTACATAGAAGAAATTCAAAACAAAATCAGGAGTATTATGTTACGTAACAAATGTGTAGCTATGGTCTCAACTGGTTCCAACATAAACTGCGTGCGTACCTTTCAGTGTAGAATTTCTCAATGACTATAGCAGATGGTACCACGAGTTATTATGGTGTAAGTTCTGCTCAAAAAACCATGAATTTCAACCTTTTGCAGAACTCTATTGAGGACCATTTATAGGACTTACAAGTTACGTATCAAGGTCATCAGGACTAACTAGAAGTCAAAAATCATCACAACTATTCTAGCCTTTTTATCATCTTACCTTTCCAACACTTGCATAAAGAAGTAAACTTAACTTCGTAGATCGGAACTGTAAACCCTCCATAAATCTTCGAACTGGATCAACTCTCGTGCAAGCATACCATAGTACCGCAGATTATGTAATATTACACCACTCGGCCAGTAACCCTGACTAGCATCTGCGTATCAAATTCGTAGACGACTTATCAGCTCTAGAGATTATCCCTAGGAACTCTATCAGTCTCTTGAATTGTGCTGCTTCTAACATTCACAATTTCGCTATATGCAAAGAGACGTTTGTAAACTTTCTTCACAACTCAAACGTATTACCCAACCCTATTATAATAGGGAATGATGTTATTGAGCAAGTTAAATGTTATAAGATCTTAGGTGTCATTTTGAGCAACTACCTCAAATGGAAAAGTGTCATGTGAACTACATTGTTAATAAAGCCTGTAAGAAATTATATTCCTTAGGGGTACTGTATAGAGCGGGTGTTAGCAGAGCTAGCATTCTGAAAGAATATCTTACTACGATAAGACCAGTTTTAGAATACGCTGTGCCCGTGTGGCAATCTGTCCCAGACTACAGTACTTGGCTGGTGTAATAGAGTCAATGCAAAAGAGGGCACTTAGATAGTTTTTCCCGCAGAGGAGTCCTATACGGAGGCCCTGGGTCAAGCTAACTTGACTTGCCAACACTGTGAGAGAGAAGAGAAGACTTATTCTACAAATATATGGAAAAGATGAAATCCAGAGACCATCCTCTATTTAAATTGTTACCTAGGCCAGTTGCAGGTACTTGTAATTACAAGCTCAGAAAAAAACTTCGAGAAATTCCTTCTATTTAATGGCTAAATTACTTGTAGGACCAAAAGAGCAGATTCATTTTTTACATTTTAGATATTTTAGGTAAACTCTTACAAGTAATATTATTATTAATAATCATATTTGTAAATATCTAGGTAAATTTGTAGTATTTTTATAGTATATTTTGTAAAGCTTTGTAATTAGTCTTGTAAATTTTTAAGCTCACCAATTCAGTATTAATTTTATTGCGACGAGTTTTAATAAACTTACTTTATAACTTACTTTATATTAACCCAGGTTTCCATTAGGCATCATTTCCCCATCTTTGCAGCTTCTGATTAAAATTCGCTCTGTGCCGACCATAAACTAGAACATCATTTATTTATATTCTCAGTGCAATCGGTTGAAACTGACCCGTGTATCGGAAAAGGTTTCAGTGGGTTTACTACTTCCATTTGTATCCTCTTAGGTGTCTGTCGATGAAAACCTTTTTCGTTTTCATGTAACGTAATATTTCTGTCTAGCCTGTGTCAGCATGGCAGCTCAGTAAGGCCACCCTTCGGCGTCTGGTTTGTTGAGCCTCACCTCATAGCCAGATCCTGTGTTACATTTATATGGTGCCGTGACCAAGAGGATTGCAAAAGGATTGATATGGTTAGGCGTATGAAGAAGAAAATTATACGCTTCCTACTGTCAGAACAACAAATGAAATAATTTTTCGTCTTGTTGATGAAGTAACATAGTTCATGTAAATATAACTTCTTCCTTCTTTGTTTTGTTTTTCTTTTTTCCTAGTTGTATTTCCTTTGATTTTACCCGCTACCTAGAACCTAAATTGTTCAGGGAGCTAACAAGAAAACCAACTGGTTCATTTAGCTCCCTAGCTTGCACATTATTTTCGTTACATTTAATATATCTTGTACTGTAATTAAATTTCCTAGAGTGTAATATTAACCATGTACATTGACAAAGCATAATAAAGATTATTATTACTATTATTATTACGTAAAGGTTGATTTCTGTATCAGCGGTCCTGATTGTTTCAAAGTGACGCCGATCGATCTCCAGTTCCGCATTCCATCGTTTCAGATCATTCGATTCCTTCAAGCTGTCGTTTGTGTTCTGTGAGTGCACCCACATTTTGCCAACTATCTTTGGGGCTAACATGATTTGAATGTAAGTGGTTTTCCCAGTTTGACCACTCTGCTTAATAATCGTCGCAAGCGGATGCAAAGTTTGCTTCCTGCTTGCTCCTATGGCAACACATTCTTCCTTTACCGACAATAAGAAATAAAATAGTGTTTCTAGCTGGGTTACTTTAGGATAGCAACGATGATTCACAATGAAATTCAAAAGACATGAAACCTCCTTCGGTACTCAAAGTGAAAGTAAAACATGTTACAACGTTGATGCAGTGCTCCGGCGAAGTACAGTACGAAAGTCGGTTTTAAATCAAAAGTTCCTTGTTTGTAATGTCTCGATCTAGCCATCAACATTTGATAATTCACACGCACAGTACATTGTATACAGTCAATCAGGTAACTACCTGTAAAAAATTTTGTTGCCTAGGAGTTTCCAGAAGCTCTGACTGGAAGAGAATATATATATATATAAGAAAGGTAAAACTTGTCTGGACTAGTTGTACCTAAAAGTGCTTATAACGCTAATAGTCGTTCGCCGTGCATAGATGTTAATTAAACTATGTTATTATCTGAAAAGCTGTATTATGAAAGTATGATGGCTTAACATACTTAATACGGTATGATAAAATGGAAGAAAACTACTGAAAATGACCTTCAATCTTCTTACCTTCTCGTCCTAACAAATCGGCCATGCAAGGAACATCCTACACGGAAAGAGAACGTTTCATTTCCGCTTTTCTCAGCAAAAATGCTAAAGTTCGAGGTCTGAAATTTATTATCATTAATATCATTATTATTATTTTTAATAAAATAATAGATCATCAGAAATGATCTTTATTAAAATCTTGTAAAACCTATGCACAAAAGCAAAAGACTGCATTATGGTAATTAAAGTTCCTCGCCATATACATACATGAAATTCTTAAACTAAAAGCATAGGAGTTAGTTGAAAAATATATATATATATATAAATTCATTGTAAAACATGTGCATGACTCAGCCATCCATTATGCTTATCAATTAATTTCGTTTTAAAAACAATTCACTCAAAACACTATTTACTGTACACTTCATTTCAATTTAAAAAAAACACCTCATTTAAAAAGATTCATTTCAATTAAAAAAACAATTAATTTCGACTATTATCTTTCAATATTATTATTATTATTATTATCATTGCTATTATTATTATTATTGCTATTATTATTATTATTATTATTATTATTATTATCATCATTAATTACACGATAGCTGAGCCCAATCGATAAGGGCCAAAGCTAAAGGTAGAAGTCTATTGTTGCTGTTGTTATTATTATTATTATTATTATTATTATTATCATTAATTTAAACAAAGAGATAGGGAAAGAAATTCTGATGTATTTTTACTACTTTTTTTTTACCCCAAAGTAACAATCGCTAAAATCCCCCGTGATACCAACCCTTATAACGATGGACGATTCTCACTTAGTTTGAGATACCTGTGGTTACTTTCATCATCTCAGAACTCGGTCTGGACGTATTGACCTCGCTATCGCTCGGCGGTCAATACATCAAGGCCTTGGTCTGAGATTTCCCTGTAACTACCTCACTCTCTGTTAATAGGAGGTAGATATTTAGGAAGTGTGGTTAATTAGTCAAATCGACCTGGAAAGGTTTGATGCCATCATAGACTACAATACCCAAAAGTATCATGGTAACTTTTAGAATGATGTTTTCCATCATCAAAGATAGCGAAATTCAACATTTTAATATTCCTTCTGACCTTCAATTTGAAAATTATCGCACTGTCCTAGCACGTCAAAAAAATTAAAGAGAGGTGTCCAAAAAATAATTGAAATATATAATAACCGGAACAGGCATAACAATCTTCAGTAACACTAAGGCAAATGAGTGCTTGCTCAATGGAAGCAGCAAAGGGGATTTGAGATGAATGAATGAGCAAAGGTTAGCCGACCCAAACACTTACATTACCTTAGAATACTATACACGTTGCCTGCCAAAATGAAGGGAAGCATGATGCCACAGAAGAAGATATAAGGATATTGGTTTGACGCTTGATATTATTAGTTGAAGAAGGTTAAAGATCTTTTTGGAGGGAGAGGGTGGAGGTGATCAGGTAGTGATGTCTAAATATTTGTCATTTGTAGACTTTTCAAAGCAACGGACCTGTCAATTCGAGTGGTTCTAAAGACTGTGAGAGAACAGGGTTCTATCTAGGGTATTTGAGGGGTAGAAGCCTCCCCCCCACCAAATGCATTGGTATCATTACAGAATAAGTAAGTATATAAGTAACTATATTGGAAAAATTATACAGACGCGACGAGGTGAGTGCACACACTGGACCATTTCTCAAAATTGTGTCTAAGAATGCACCAGATTGCATCTCAGCGTATATTCATTTCAAAAATTAAGAGATTTCGACGCTAAATCAAAAATGCGTCCATCTTACTCGCTAACCTCAAAGTAAGTACTCTACCAACAACTCACGGGTTTAGAGCCCCTGTACGACAAAATCTTCCAGGTCGCTAACAAAAACTCTGAGGAACATGGTGTCTTCATGCACATAGGCGCGTCTGCGTAGTTGAGTAAGCGAGCAGAACAGTGGAAACCCACTTGCAATGTTTGCCTCCCTTCTTGGTCTCTGAAAGGAAGGGCTGTTAGGATCAGGTCTGAACTCGTCTATCACGTGTTCTACGTTATCTTGATCCAGTAACATGAACGTGACCTTCTGCCTGAATGGCCAGCGGAGAATCGCATCATACTGACCGCGCATGACCACAAAGAACACAGAGATGTGAGTTCCTCGGCCCATGCCATCTCCGTTTAAATATATGCGGGCGCACATCTTGTATCCACAGGGGCTGGTGAAAAAACAAGGGCTGAGGAATGACCTTTGCTGACCATTGACTGCTTCGTTTCGCAGCCAGGAAAATTTTGTTATTTTCCAAACCAGGTGGCCGTCATAACTAGGAGGCAGTCGTTGCCTCATGACCTGCGCAACATTTCTGAGGGCCAGCGTGTGCTCTATGGAGTCAATCCTTCGTTCTAACCTCCTGGTGGTATCCTGGATGGTATCAAGCAGTCGCCTGGCATTACCCATTTCTCGATTTGCCTGCTTCATTGTGCGTCTTCTTTCTTCTAAGATCAACTCGTGCTTAGCCGTCGTTTTCTCAAGATTTGCCACCTGTTCGTTCGTTACGCTGCAAGCAGAATCAGCAGATGTGATCGCTTCTGAAAAAATACCTGTACTAACTCTTCTTTCCAAAGAGGCGATTCGTTCGCTCTGTTGTTGTATCTCTTTTTGAAAATGCCTGTCTGCTGCTATATTGGCTCTTACTTGAGAGAGTATGTCGGAAACAATGTCGTCGTAATTTCTGAAGATACACAGCCTAGACATCATGCTGGGCTCATTTGTCAAAAGTGATTTCATTTGTTCACCCAAATGGAGTGCAAAGTGAAGAATCAACATCGTATGGTAAGACTTTGCCTTCTTTAGGTGTTCTATCCTCTCATTATGCCTGAGGACCTGTTACAAGAATGGAAAATAACTATATCCGGTTCCAATTCTAGGCTGTATGAATGAATCCAATTTGGCAACGGGAAACAATTGTTTAAATTGTGGTTAACAATGACTTTTTATCATAAAAACTGGCTTGCAGCTGCTTTAAAACAACTTTCAACCGAGAGCCTATTTTAATAGTGCATGCAAACTCACGGCCGCAAAGAGAAGCCACTGATCTGAGTTTCTTGACAAGAAACACACTATAGGAGATAGACCGTGTCCAACTCGGTCCTCTCAGTGCACACATTCTTTCCCATTTAAGTTTGGTGGAGACAAACTGTATAACTGTGACTGGTGTCACTCCACCGATATTTCATGCCCTTTTTATGTGATATGATATAGAAAAACTGGCATATCGAAGGTCAGGGAGCTAGACGGAAACTGACGAGTTTATGCCGTTTGCAGACAAAGAAAACACAAGATATGAAACAAGAGAGTACAGGGTTGTAAACACAAGAAAACCGGCTCTAAGGAGCATCTATGAACGTCTGCTGTAATGAAAATACCTCAGCTTTTGAGCATCCAATCTTAGCAAATGGGCATAATCCCTGTACTCCATCCTCAACTTGATCCTGATGCTCTGCTAACTAAACAGTCAATTGTGATCAATTAGTAAGACTTAATTGCCAACGAGCAGCCTCGCGAAGACGCTAGGCTGCGAGGCGAGAGCATAATAAGGCCGTGCGCGAAAGTTCCAAGGCTGAATGAATCTGATCGAAGCGATGTAACGTAAGGTAGTAAAAGGTAACTTTTATGACGTAAAGCAGAACAGAGAAAGCACTGTTTTCGAGCAAACACGTGCATATAAGTATAATGCATGAGTGAGTTCCATGACGGAAACACGACTAACCGGGAGCCTGTATTCTTGTAAATTACGGTGATTAATGACATTTCTGAACAAATCGAACGGCAAGCGCGTATAGGTAAAATCTTTGCTCGTTGGCACTTAGCGATTGCTATAACTAGTCAACCTTTTAAATAAACGAATCAACGGATGCTTGGACTAAGAGATGATCGAAGGGATGGACAGGAGGAAGAATCAAAAGGAATAGTGGAGGGACGAAAGGCGGGAAGTGGAATTAGACTTATAGGGTGGTATGGTATGACGCGGGGATGGAGGAAGAAAGAGGTAGATGGAGTGATGAAGGGTTGGTGGGCGGAGGGAGGCTTCGCCGCCAAATCTCACTCGACTAATACACAATACCGCCAGCTACGCAGGCTAATAAATACATAGGCTTCGAGGTTCCGATGAATATTAATTAATAGCTGGATGACAATACGTGGATTATATTTGGGCAGTCTATAGCCAATGGTAGATTTATTATGTAACACAGTAACTAACCTCGAGCAGATAGAACTCTTCACCATCGCATGCACATGATGAGTTAGTCGCCTCTCCGCTGGAAGATGAATAGTCACAACAATTTTGAAATTATCAGAAGGAGCTCAGTAGAAGTAACTAAGTTTAATGCTAGACCACTGGCGCGGAAAGGGTTCGTTAACTGCCTTCGAGGATCAAAACACCCCATCCCCCATAAATACGTTGAAAACGGGGCTTCGTCTGAAATACATGCGTTGACAGTTAAAAAATCTATGGTTGAAGAGATTTGCCACAAATTTCTGCGAATTGTTATTCCGGAATACGATCAACGGAATACACTCCAAGCCGTAAGGAAAATGAGGAACTACGTATTCGTAGTCTAGCAAAATATGGAAACTTTTGACAGTGTGTACAAATTAAATATCACGAGAAAGTCACGTGCATGTTGTACGTGCGAAACTGCCACAAATGTCCAGTGCTGGCCACAAGATCCCTACTTTCCTTTTTCATCCTTAGTTCCACACTTCTCAGAGGTCTGGAAGTGTGGAAAAGTCTGACAAAGTCAGGATATTGTCGCACTTTTCCCCCAGTCATGAACCCTTTGTCATTCTTTACTTAGTTCCACACTTCTCAGAGGTCTGGAAGTGTGGAGAAGTCCGACAAAGTAAGGATATTGTCGCACTTTTCCCCCAGTCATGAACCCCTTGTCATTCTTTACTTAGTTCCACACTTCTCAGAGGTCTGGAAGTGTGGAGAAGTCCGACAAAGTAAGGATATTGTCGCACTTTTCCCCCAGTCATGAACCCCTTGTCATTCTTTACTTAGTTCTACACTTCTCAGAGGTGTGGAAGTGTGGAATAGTGTGACAAAGTAAGGATATTGCCGCACTTTTCCCCCAGTCATGAACCCCTTGTCATTCTTTACTTAGTTCCACACTTCTCAGAGGTCTGGAAGTGTGGAGAAGTCCGACAAAGTAAGGATATTGTCGCACTTTTCCCCCAGTCATGAACCCCTTGTCATTCTTTACTTAGTTCTACACTTCTCAGAGGTGTGGAAGTGTGGAATAGTGTGACAAAGTAAGGATATTGCCGCACTTTTCCCCCAGTCATGAACCCCTTGTCATTCTTTACTTAGTTCCACACTTCTCAGAGGTCTGGAAGTGTGGAGAAGTCCGACAAAGTAAGGATATTGTCGCACTTTTCCCCCAGTCATGAACCCCTTGTCATTCTTTACTTAGTTCTACACTTCTCAGAGGTGTGGAAGTGTGGAAAAGTCCGACAAAGTAAGGATATTGTCGCACTTTCCCCCCAGTCATGAACCCTTTGTCATTCTTTACTTAGTTCCACACTTCTCAGAGGTCTGGAAGTGTGGAGAAGTCCGACAAAGTAAGGATATTGTCGCACTTTTCGCCAGTCATGAACCCCTTGTCATTCTTTACTTAGTTCTACACTTCTCAGAGGTGTGGAAGTGTGGAATAGTGTGACAAAGTAAGGATATTGCCGCACTTTACCCCAGTCATGAACCCCTTGTCATTCTTTACTTAGTTCTACACTTCTCAGAGGTGTGGAAGTGTGGAATAGTGTGACAAAGTAAGGATATTGCCGCACTTTTCCCCCAGTCATGAACCCCTTGTCATTCTTTACTTAGTTCTACACTTCTCAGAGGTGTGGAAGTGTGGAATAGTGTGACAAAGTAAGGATATTGCCGCACTTTACCCCAGTCATGAACCCTGTGTGGAAGTGTGGAAAAGTCCGACAAAGTAAGGATAATGTCACACTTTTCCCAGAGGCACAGACCCCTTGTCATTCTTTACTTAGTTCCACACTTCTCAGGGGTCGTGTGTGTCCGAGAGGCCGCGACTTCTGTAAACGTTTATTTGTGTGAGAAAATGCGTGATCTCGTCATAGAGTCCGATTAATTTGTTGCCATTTTCAGCCATCATAGCCCCCATTTTTTTCCATTGAAGCCTCCTCTACTGCCCAGTCTGGAAGAGCATCGTTGTTCGATGTATCTTTTCCACTTGCGATAACGCGTTTTCTCACGGTGTCCAAAATTTCCCTCAAAAATTTAAACAACGTCGACTTTCCCGCACCGATTGGCATTACAATTACAATCCATAATATCATAGGTTCAAACCAATCCTTCCCAAAAGGATTTACTACGGCGTGAGAGGAAAAATACGAAATTAACATCAATAAGCTAAGCCCGACAGGACGGCAGTTGAAACTGCGACGCAAACAACGTAGAAGAGCTGAAAGGGGTAATGAGAGGGAAAAGATGTGGTGTGCAATGTTATTAATTTTATTTGGTACTATAACGATCTCAGTTTTATTTAATAGGTCGTCGGCCAGAACACTGAAATTTATTTTAATCTTATCACTTACTTAGTTATTTAATCACGGTAATTAACCCTTTCGCGGCATATAAGTGCATTCTAGCATGAAGCGATATACAAACGTTTGGATACAGATTGAAACAGAAGTTTGCGAGCAGACCTTCTCTTGGCTGTCAAAATATGCAAAAATGACAAGGAAAATGAACAGAGGGCACTTCGTCTTTTCCATAATTTATGTTCAGCATTTACATAACCTTAGAGAAGAGGAAAAACTACGAAACAGTGGATATATAGCTCGCCCCATGTAAGGTAATCCAAGAGAGTCTTGGATTCCGGATTCCACGCTGTGGATTCCGGATTCCATGCCTGTGGATTCCGGATTCCACATCCGTGGATTCCGGATTCCATGAGTGGCTGGATTCCAGATTTCAAAATTCTATTTTCTGGTTTTCAACGTTTCCTTTGTACTTTGTTTTCACCAAAAAAGCTTGTTCTTTTTTTACCCGAAGTGTACATTGTCTTATATAAAATATAAGTATAAAATATAATTCTTGGCCTTACCCGAGAGGATTATGAATATAGGAGCGGTTTCTGAAGTCCACTGAGTCCACATCGTTGAAGAAATACTAACGAGGAAGGGCTATTCTTATTCTAATAATAACAACGGCGTCAACAATAACAAAAGAGGTACACATTGCCAAAATCAGTGCTTTTCAGGTTCAAACATAATTCGTCTCCGAATTGTTTAATTGTCACACAGAAATGTAAAACTTCAGTTACAGCTTACCAACAAATAGCGTGAAGATAGTCCAATTACTAGACTACAAGCTACGCAGGCAACGGAAACGTTTATCTTAGAATAAACCGTGTCGTTCTCCGTCCTGATAAACTAACTCCCGGCAGTCTTATCGGGACGGATACTTCTCCCTCATCCTCTGCAGTTGGTGGTGCAGTTTCATTCTCATTGTCATCATCGTCACCGTAGTCCCTATTAGCAATTCGACAGAGCCTGTTATCCTCCTCTGTTGTTAAAATGATGTCTGATCCATCGGAAGAAAAGTCGAGTACTCGGGTTAGAATGCACTTGGGGGAATTTCCATTACAGACATCACCGGAGGTGTATGTTAGTGAATCACTTGTTTGGTTTAGCCACTTTAGGGATACTCTTTGCTGCACAAAATTTCCACCATTCACTTCTATTTGTACATCCTCCAGAAGAACTGCTAGCCAGAAGGGTGAGATCTCTCTTCTACGGTTGTGTCTTACTGCCAATATGTCGTCTTTCTGGTAAATGGTTTGCACCCGTACAGCCGTACTCCGCAATGCCACATTAGCATCCACAACTTGGCAAGCTGTTGTTACGTCTTCGCTTTCCTCTAATGAGGCTGTGATGGTAGTGGGACACATACTAAGGGTATAAGGAAGGGTGCCAGTTAGCTCTTTCGTTTTTGAGCGGAAATTTTCCTGTCTTACGCCTCTTCCATACTCCTTAGCAAATTCTCGCATCACGGTTTCTCGCCTTGTGTCTTCTTCTTTGCTACCTGTTCCTTCAGTGATTGCTGACAGCTTGTTTGGTCGCGTCTTGATGTTTGAGGGTTCACCTTTGATAATTTTCTCCGGATAATATGAATTGGGCCCAGTGAAATATGAGAAATCCTTCTGGTAAATGCGCAGCATATCGTCTTCCACGCAGCGCGCTCTTCTGCAAGCGTAGTTAGCCACTGTAGGCATGTCGTGGTCTGCTCGCATTCCTTTGAAATAGCATTCCACGCCCAAAGTTGTCATACTTTCGAAACAGATCCTGTCCAGAAGGTGACTATGCCCAATCTCCGTTAGCGTGTTGGTAAGGCTGGTCAGCGATTCTAGCACTATGAGGAAGGACTGTCGGGTGCATCGAGGTATGGTCATGTCGGGACCGTTGGTATTTCGCTTGCCCGTCCTCTCCAGGGCTTCCTGTTCGTGGTTAGAGAGAAATGCAACCAACTCCTCGACAGATTTCACATGATCTTCAAATGTACGTGGTAGGTCTTCTTCTTTGGCTTTCTTGTCGAGTCGGAACACGTTTGCGTATTGGGCCATCTTACTTTGCAGGGGGATCAGTCCCTTTGCTGACGTCAACATTCTTATTGCTACGTTACCGGTACCGCATACGAAAACAGTGTTTCGATATACGCATAAAGCAGTAGGCTTGTTCCATCGACTTTGGACACCATCACGATGGCCTGCAGTTTCTGCACACACTTTTGTTAGGGTTTCTTTACCCCCAAGCATCTCTTCTTCCTTCAAACTGAACAGTGCGTGTTCTTCGCTGGAGGACAAGAACACGGTTCCACCATCTGTCACTGCAATACCCATGAGGCCTGGAATATTCGAAATTGCTCTCAGTTTCAATCGTCCTCTCACTTGACAAAGATGAATACATGAACCATTCCCGTCTCCAACTAACAAGTATTGCTCGTCACGTGTTAAGGCTAATGAAGTTAATAAACTAGATCGATCAAAACAAAACAATTCATTTAACTGGCCGACGCAGTTAGTTTCCTCATCGTCTACAACACCAGAAATTGAAAAAATCTTGCCAAGACCAACGTCTGACACAAACAATTCAACGCTACCCTTTGCAGACGCACATATGGCAAATGGTGACACCAGATCCGGTACATTACCTTCAGAAATAAGGGAAAGATCGTGTACATGGACTTTACGGATACGTCTACCGGCGCAATCTTCTTCCTCACTTTGGCTT